TTATTATTATTATTATTATTATTATTATTATTATTATTATACTGTGCCCAGAAACTAATAGGCAGCCAGTGGAGAGATTTAAGCATGGGTGTTATGTGTTCTCTCCTAGAGATACCGGTAACCAATCTTGTTCTGAACTAATTGAAGTTTCTGGGTTAAGCACAAGGGTAGCCCCATGTAGAGCGCATTACAGAAATCAAGATGGGAGGTTACCAGAATATATACCATAGTTTCAAGATCCCTAATTTCCAGAAAAGGGCGCAGCTGGCGTATCAGCCGAAGCTGATAACAGGCACTCCTGACTGTCGCATTCACCTGACTAGTCATGTGAAGCGACGAATCTAGGAATACCCCCAGACTGCAAACACAGTCCTTGGAGGAGAGTATGACTCCATCCAGGACTGGAAGTTGTATTCCCAGACCTGGTTTCAGGCCTGTAACTGTTAGTACCACTGTTTTATTTGGATTCAGTCTCAGTCTGTTTTTCCTCATCCAGTCCATTACTGCTTTAAGACAATCATTGACAGGAGAGACGCCATCTGAAGCCAAAGCCGACGACTGGGTCATGGAGAAGTATATTCTTTGGCAGTGAAGGCTAAAGATCTTGTAAAACTAAAAATCCCAAGATTCCATAGAATGGCACTACAACACTTAAGGTGGTGGCAAACTGTATTATTACTGCAATGGAGATGCATCTTTGCTTCCCCTCCCCTGCTTCTCTCCCCCATCAAGAACACACAAACATTGTCCTTACCATTCTTCCCACTCCTGCCATACTTTGGTGGAACTAAATTTCCCATGTGTTGTTAAAAGCAGTGTTTGTAAAGGAGTTAACAATAGAGCTGGAGACAGTGTTAGGTTTTTTTTTCCTGTTCAAAGGAGAGTTTGGACAACTTGATTTCCAATGAGAAATTTATTTTCTCATTTGTTGTCATTTGTCATTTAAAAAAAAAATCTGAATGGCATGCTCTTAGCAACTGAGGTTGACTGTCCCAAGGTTTGGACCCTGAAATCTTAGAGCCTGAAGTCCTCCTGACCTGGTAACCCTGAATCCAGGGTCCTTTCTAATAAGTTAGTCAATGCTATACCCTATCCAGGGAGGTGGAAACAAAGCAGAAGATTCCAGATCAGCTGGCCAGCTGCCACTTTTGGGGGGGACAGGACTTTTTTTTTTAAAAATGCCCAAAATATAGTAAAAAAGAGTATCTGATAACCATACATGACATCTGCAGTACAGAGTCTCTGGTTCACCCAACTTGGTGAGTCATGTGGATCAGCTTCATTGCCCAGCATGGTGCAGATGTTATTTAATAACTGAGGTTCTAGTAACAGAGGCTGTTGCCACACTGCAAAATTTATGCAGATTGACACCACTTTAACTATCATGACTCTATCCTATAGAACACTGAGATTTGTAGTTTGTTGGGGCACCAGAGCTCTCTGAGAGAGAAGGCTAAGTATCTCACAAAACTAAAAAACCCAGAATTCTATAGCATTGAAGTATGGCAGTTAAAGTAGTGTCAAACTGCATTAATTCTGCGGTGTAGATACACCGAGAGGCATTAGGTATTTCTCTACCAGGTATTGTGCTACATGCAACTGATTTCTGATATTCATACAAATATACATATCCTTTTCTCTCTCTTTCTCCTTCTCTTCAAACTGGAAGCACATCACCACAAGAACATGAGGTTCAGTTGAAATGTTAAGAGCTAGTGGTTGGTGTGTTAGGCTGGAGTTTGGGAGATCCAAGTGAAACTCACAGATTGACATTGGGCCATTCTGTGTGTGTGTGTGTGTCTGTATTAGCCTGACCTACCTCAAAAGGTTCTTATGAGGATAATATGGTTGCCACCTTGAGATAATTGGAGGAAGCTGGCATATAAATGTAACTAATAAATAATAGTATTCCAGATTTCTGTTTTCTGCTTTAAAAACCCTAGGAAGAGAAGTGGACAATTTAGCACAAGAAGTAAAAACAAAAAAATCTTCAAACAATGAACGGTATTCTTAATGTTTGAATCCCACAAGAAAAACATTTATACAAACTAGTTAACTATGTAAGTGTAAGCTCTGTCACAAGCGAAATCTGGTGTGAAGTACCGGTATGGCAGCATGTAACTGGTTCTCCTACATTCAAGCTACACCCTAATTTGAAAGCTGTGGGATAACACACGAGGTATCAACAAAGCTGTTTGCATCTCACTCTCTGCTCTCATGTGTGTGGGAGCACCTGATCTGACACATGCTCTTTCTGTGTCAGCCAGAATATAACCCTGTGAAGCCCTCCTTCCTTTTGGCTGAAGCAAAGGTAAGTGTATCAGCAGCTCCCAGGGAGATCAATGCCCTAACAGGATTTGTGAAGTAGAATCAAACAGCTAGTTGAGTTCCTGCTGAGTTTCTCCATCTCTTACCTTTGCTTCTCCTCTTTAGGAGAATGGGTTGCTTACAGACATTTGTAAGGCCAGTCCCTCTGACTCTTGAAAAAGGACTTTAGACATTTCTTTTCATACATCTTCTCTACAGGACTGATGGTGTAAATAATCCTGGTAGAATGTGGATTGAATTTGTGTTGTTCACTTGAATTTGAAATGCATC